GGCCTGACTGCATATCTTTGGACTGTGGGAGGAAACCAGAGTACCCAGAGGAAATCCATGCAGACATGGGGAGAACATGGAAACTCCACACAGAAAGGACCCTGGTCCCCAGGCTGGGAATCAAACCCAGGCCCTTCTTGCTGTGAGGCACCAGTGTTGCCCACTGCCCCACCCTGTAAACTATGTAGTAAAATAAAAAATAATTTGCTGTGATTACATATATGTGTGTGTGTTTTCATGCTAATTGTACCACGTGCCAATATAAAATCCTCAAGTTCTCTGGGACAACATTATTGGGCAACATACAGTTTGTCCAATAATATGCAAGTGGTAATTTCATAGAACCACAACTAAATGACCCTGGATAGGTGTCTCATACGAGATTTTGCAGCACGCTGAAGGAAAGGAAGACAGAAGCCAGCATTCGCAAAAAGAGATGCAGGATGACTTGAAAGCAGCAGGAGCAACAGTTACAAAGAAAACAATAAGTAATGAACTGCACTGCAATCATCTCTGTTTCTACAGTCCACACAAAACTCTTCTGCTGAAAAAGAAGCACAGAGACGCACATCTAACATTTGCACACAAGCATTTAGATAAATCTAGACTCTTTCGGAACAATGTACTCTGGTCAGATGAAGCAAAAATAGACCTCTTTGCATAATATTTCAGCTTGTCATGCTTGGATAAAGAAGACTTTATGATCGTAAAAACACCACACCCACTGTGAGGTATGGTGATGGGAGCATCATGATATAGGGCTGCTGCTCTGCAAACTGTTCTGTGGCATTACATGTCATTAAAGGAAACATGAATGGAGCGCTGTAGTGGGACATATTAGAGAAGGGACATGTCAGCCAAGAAGCAGAATCTGGGGAGAGGATGGACAAGATAACGACCCCAAACTAAGAGCTAAAATAACGCAAGACTGGTTTCTAAAAAGGAGGATAAACGTGCTTACATGACCTAGCCAATTGCCTTACTGGAATCCCACTAAATCCATTTATGGAGGATTTTGAAACTGCGAGTCCAACAGAGGAACCCTTGTAACCTTGGAGAATTGAAAACGCTTTGCCAAGAGGAATGGGCCAAAACTGAACCACTAGGCTGCCAAAAGGCAACTGCTTATTACCATAGACATCTCAAAGCTATAATTGCCAACAGCAACTTTGCAACAAAGTACTAGTATTATTAATTTGTGGTGTCTGTAAACTTTTTTTCTCTATCAGTTAATATTTTTGTTTGTGCTTATGAATACATACATTTTATTTCATACTTATCAAAAGACAGTCAAAAGGCATTGCATGTGTCAATTTGCTGTAGATATATGCACTGGAAGTATATTAAATAACAAAATTTTCTTATTTCCTTATTTCCTCTCACTATATGGTATTGCTTACACGCACACCAGCACAATCTGACATAACTGCAATGTAAAAAAAAACCTTTGCTGATGCACTGAAGTTGACTTTCCCTGCATTTTACAAAATATTGCTGTTCCATTTTTCTCTTGCTTCTAAATCTTATTTTGCCTATAGGTGCAAGAAGTCAGACCCCACTTGGGTAACACTAAAGTATGGGTAGTGTTGTTCAGATAACCAGTCTCATAGTTGCACTGCTGTCTCTTCACAAGATCATAGGCAGCTGTTTTCCATAGGAGTTTGTTTTTAACTGCTAAGGTGCTGAAAGATTGTGGCTGTGTATGTACGGTAACCCTCAAGGTTCTTTAACCAGAAAGCAATACAACAACCTGACTGTGGCCATTTTATTTTCACAATGCACAAATCAATCAGACCACAAAATGAACTACAAGTGAACCTCACTGAGACCACTGTGAGAGGTGATCTGAATTCGGTTTGTTTTTGGGGTCATTTAGAGGGGTCTGATTTTATTTTACGTGTTCACGTTTTCACAGAAAACCATGACCGGTCCAACTGAAACGCTGAAAATGTCCAAGTATGAAACGCCCTATATCTGACAAAATGTTTAACGTGAGGGAGATTTCTCCCTCCCCTGAGAGATGCAGGCCCTTGCATGTTTTGTTACATACTTTGTTACTGTTCTGGTGTCATGCCACAAAAGTGTCAGAACTATGTGAGAGAGTCTGTAGAGTGATATGTGTTTACATGTCCAAATCTATCTTCAACAGTCCAGTAAATGTTAGACACGTGTTTAAAGGTGCCATAGAATGCATTTATTCCGTATTTTAAGTTGTTCTCTGATGTCTACATAGAAGGTATGTGACTTTGGTCAGGGCTAAAAATGTCCTGATGAGGTTTTATTTGATTATTTATTCCATTCACAACCCTATGATTTGGCCCTAGAATGAAACAAGCTGTTCTCCCTTTTTTGGTGGGATCATGAATAATTTGATGAGCTCTGTTCCAATTCACTGGTTTACAGTGAGGCACTGCAATGGCTCACACAGAAGCATCATGTCAAAATAGACATGAAAGAAGAAAATAAATGAAACTCTGTGTAAACAAGCTAGGTCGTTGTGCTATTTAGTTAGCTATGCTAGTTAGCTTGTAGCTAACGTTACCTGTACAAGCTATGGGCTTTCAATCTGGACAACAACACAAAGTAGATTAAAGTTGTTAGCTCACTTTGAAACTTTCCATTTAAGATAATCTGACTTCAGCTGTCAAAAAGTGGATAAAATCACACGGCCTGGCTGCTACTTACAGGTTGCTGTCGCGGCCAAACTGAACTCAGATCGCCTCTCTGGTCTCAGTGAGGTTCACTTGTAGTTCGTTTTGTGGTCTGATTGATTTGTGTATTGTGAAAACAAAATGGTCAGCTTGTTGTTTTGCTAATGAAGTTAGAACTGCCCCTCTTTTCTGTCTCTTCTGTGTCAAATGCTGAGCAAAGCCTGCTCAATATTGTCCAAGGTTTGAGAAACTGTCTGGAGTGAAATCCGCAGAGCAAACTAGTTAACAACTTTATGTCAAACTTGTCCTGAACTTGGCTTCCTATTCGCCAGCTTGTTTTACAAAGTTTCCATTCCACCTTAAATGGTACTGCAGTTATGTTCTGGCGCCTGTACAAGCTGTAGCATTTAAGGTGGAACAGAACATTCAGTAAAGAAGCTGGTGAATAGGAAGCCAACTTCATCCTCGCTTAAACATGAACATCAACCATGCCCGTTGACAGTTCAGTTCCTTGAAAATGGTATAAAAACTGCCCACATTCCCTTCATAGCCTGGAACGTAGGCTGGTGTATGTCAATTAAATATTATTGAGTCAAGTAAATTAATGAATCAAGACTATTGCATAACAGTTCAGAGGTTTTTGGATTGGCTCATTTTACCACCCTCTTTTCAGTTGAAGGAGGAGATAACAGTGTTTGAGGTTCACAGTATGTCAGTTCCATGTACCAAACTCTCCTTATTCAACTATACAAATGTAAATAGAAAAAAAACTGTTATTGACAAGATCATGCAGCCCCTCAATCTACTGACTGTTAAAAGTCAATACTGTAGCTTCTTTCTGGACACATCTGTATGTTTTCCATCTCTCCATTATGGCTGCTAATAGTCATTAAGGGCCTTGGAGATGGCGTGACAAGGATCAGGTGGAACTACAGGTTTTTGAATTTCAGTTTTAAAGCAAAAGGAACTTTTCAAGGGTAGCACACAGTCAGGATGAGTTATGTTGTGGCGAGAGGCAAACTCTCTTGCTCTCTTTCCTTCTAATGGAAGTGTTGGGGAGACAGGTTCAGGGCCATGACTTACAGGCAGAGCAGGTGCAGATAAGTGGAGGTCAGGCAGTGGATATCAGTGTTCACGAATTGCTCTGCCTCTTTCTAAACAGGACGCTTTTATGTCTGCACTCTAATGCTGAACTTATAATGAAGTGCATTATTTAACATCACATGACCAAGAGGTATATCTTGTTGAACAGCCAAATAGCTCTATTATTAGTCTATACAGTTCATTCACCACATATAGTTTAGTCTGCAATATCCACAAATTAAATATGGCAAATGGTCTTTTATTTTTTATGGTAGGGGTATTTAATTCTAGTCCTGGAGGGCTGAGGTCTAGCATAGTTTGTTGATTTCTTTGCTAAAAAACACACCTCCTAAAACTGGAAATCAACAGATGACTCTAACTCCATTTCCCTACCTTTCTTCCGAGAAAACGACCGGACACTGCTGGATGATGGTCTGTAGAGCTCTCCGGCTACCCGCTTCAGACCAGTTGCCCACACCCCAGTCACCGCCACCTGCCTTGGACTGACTGCCCACTCTACACTGAAGTGGACTCCTAACTATTACTACTACTACTATTAATATTAGTAGTATAATAATTTTGTAGGTAGTTTGACCAGAGGAGGATGGGTCCCCCCTTGTGAGCCTTGGTTCCTCCCAAGCTTTCTTCCTCAGCTCTGAGGGAGTTTTTCCTTGCCACTGTTGCCACTGGCTCGCTCACCTGGAGGATTTACATTTCATGTTGAAACTTTGTCCTAAATGGATTTCTGTGAAGCTGTTTTGTGACAACATCAGTTGTAAAAAGCACTATACAAATAAATTTGACTTGACTTGACATGAGTTGAACCAGGTGTATTTGAGCAGGGAAATCATCAAAGTGCTGGACACCAGCCCTCCAGGACCAAAACTGAACACCCTCATCTGTAGTCATAATGTTGCTGTCACACTATGTCACACTTGGGATTCTGCCCAAGCAGTGCCTTTTTAGCCATCAGTTTAAATATTAAAACTACTTTTTAGATAACATTGCCAGTGAATGGGGGAGTGATGAAGATTTTTTATATTATAATATATTATTGAATTTATCAACATTTCCTGATGAATGGATCAATAGGAATGTTCCAGAATGACACTACTTGGAATAATTTCTTTTTATATTAAAGTAAAGTTTTCTGGTCCTTGTCTCATAGATTTACCATTTCCGAAATGCCATTGGCATGCGTGCAAGTGAAATGTGTTTTAGATCTGGAGTTGCTCTGTTGGTATTTGCTCTGTTCTCTATGCTTACCTGTGAGAATATGTCAGTGCCAAGTCGGGCTTCTTCATTCTGAGGTAGCAGGCAACAAGCTTGGACTCGATGAAGCCGACAACCTTGAAAACGCCTTCATAATCAGCACTGAAAGTTCTCTCAAGCACAGCACCTTTAGAGCAGAGCTGATAGAGAGATTAAGAAAATACTTTAAAGCAAATCTAAATTTGGGCTTGATTGCTTGGGGTATCTTGGCTTGGCTAATATTTCTGGCTGGGATGTCTTTTGTGCTCCGTACAGCAAAATTTACCCAGAGCTTCAGTGGACTGCATCATCACCATGTTTTATTTCATTTCATTTCATTTCATTTCAACTGCACAGTCTTTCATGATTTGTCTGTTAATTAAAAGACACTCTCAACACAAATGTTTAAGGCAAGGTTGATTCAGATGAAAACAAGAAACATATTCAAAACTGTCTCTTTGTGCTTGAAATACTGTAGCTAACTCACAAATAGCTCATTGTTGGCAGGTAATTGATTGAATGTGGCAAATTTGCATAGGCAAACGTACAGCGTACTCTAATTAGAGGCACTTCTACAGAATATCAGGACAAGCAATCCGCTTGAAGGGACTTTCATGATCTGTACTCTGATGTCCTCTAAAGTAAACAAATACTAAAGGGATATTATAAAAGGAGAAAAAAAAAATAGAATATTACCTTGAATGCGTTCAGTTAAAACCCAGTAACTTAGCATATTCACTAAATAAAAGGCCAGTAAATTTTCTCCATGTACCACGCTTTTTGTGGATGGAGGAAGGTTTAGTGTCATGATACTGGGAAACATCCTTTTCCTCCAAAAGCCTTTGTTTAATTACAGAGTATGACGAGAAAGCAGACTTTGATGAACATTACACTTAGAAAGTCCACAGTGGAGCAAGGCTCACTCTTTGTCAGAGAGAAACTACTATGAGCTCGAAACTTACACCCACAAGGTTTAACCCCTTAAAATCCCAGGCTTATTACATACCAAGGCTTATTATTCAGTAACTACCGGGACTACAATGCAAACTGGTCTAGCTAGTCTTGGGTTACAGAATTGTGTAGTAAAACTTTGGGCCCACCAAAGGGGTTAAGGGGTTAAGGTGAAATTAGTCATCTAGAGACATGTTTACAATGGGTCGATGTGCCATGTTAAAGGGCCTATATCCTACATTTTTCTTGTATTTTTTTCTCTGAGGTCTACTTATGACATTTGTGTGGTTTTATGTACCCAAAACAGCTGTAATTCATTTTTCCAACCTTTCTTTTTCCCTTAGGCTGGCTTTACATGAAACTTACGTACAACTTTAGTTGCTCAAAGCTTACCTCGAAAAACTTACTTAAAACTAAATTTCACTTGAGTTGCATAATGTAAAGTGTCCTGTAATTAATCTGAAACTCAGATGCAAAAGCTGCAAGTGTCTCAACTTTATGAAAACAGTATCATGATAACACATCATGCGATCATGTCAAATAACAAATCACTTGAAACAATTGATTTTTACTGGAGTAATGAAAAAGAAAATAAAACACAAATGATATCCTGGGGGGTTAAACATGAGACACGTTTATACAAGATTTTAATTTGTCATTTACCAAATGAGTGTCTTAAAGTTAACATTTCTGTAAACAGCTGGCTTAACTAGCCAGGTAATGCTAAAGGCTGTTAAACGGCTGCTTGTTTCTTTGGTAGCCGACTGTTATAGTGATTTATGTTGGTAGATTATTCATTTTCTCCTCTCTTGATGTCTCATAATTTCACATAAAATAGAGATTGCTTTAGGATCTAAATGAAGAAAATGATTACAGAGAGGAGACCAAGATGTGTTCATTGGTGAACTTGCAGTGCTTCTAGGACAGAATGAGCAAGACATCAAGTACAACTGTAATGGCAAATTAAAGGCTTAACATACACAGAACAGAAAAAGTCAAATATGTAGTAAAGAACCGTAGATAAATAAATTAAAGACAGATATGTAGATATAGAATGAAGAAAAGCAAAGGTGTCATGTATTAAATATACGAATGGAAAACATTGCAGATGACTTTATATAGCAAAACTATATGATGTATTTAAAAATTCCAGCTGCTAATTTGCACTAACTAGTGGAGTAATCAAATGTGTTGCGTGCAACTTGAGTGACAGATAGACAGAAATTAATTTGCAAGCCACAACACACAACTAGTTGCATTAAAGTTTCACTGTGTAAAGCCAGACATAGAATCAAACAGGCTATTTTTGTTACAATATCTTTAAGTGTGATCTTAATGATCTCTGTTCTATTTGGCTGCTCTGTATTGTGCCTTGTTCAAAAAGCAGCCAAGACTGAAACATTCCTTATAAATTCAATGTGAATGGGCAGGGCTAAACTGCTGTAGCCTAAATGTCTGTAGACGTAAATGCCTTCACCTTAAAAAAGTGAAGAAAATGAGTTATTTTGGGATACAGACCCTTTAATACTGAGATTGCTTTACTGGCAAAATTAAAAAGTTCCTCAAGTATTAACCTAATTCTATGTGCCATATTGTTTTACACTTGTGTGGAGTGGATAAAAAACAGTAAGTAATAGTGCAATTTTGTTTGTTTATAAAGGGTGTATAAAGAATGAAATAAATATATAAGGGACAGAGTTCAGTGAGATGTAAATCAAGTACCTTCAGAGCAGCGGAGAAGCGACTGGCTGCGATGGCATATTTCTCCAGCCTGTAGTGTGCGTCGGCATCTTGTAAAGCCACATCGAGCCATTTGTCAATTTGAGACAGAAAGCCGAGATTAGGTCCACTTGGAGGCCCCACTGTTTCACTGCTTTGACACATTAATTGTGAGGAGGTGGAGGCTGGGGACTGAGCGAGCTTGTGGGTAATGTTCTGTTCGTCACTGTACACTAACTTCGTCTCAACCTCCACCAGGCTTTTTAAAGAGATGCACGACAGAGGAGGCAGGGGGCTCTGTTCATTATCCGCCCCCACAACCTCATCTACCCATCCATCTCTGCTTCCAGCGCCAGCCGTCTTTCTGCTCTTTGGCCTGCCGCTGTCTCTCCTTTTCTTCTTACTTTTGTTTCGGCTCTTTTCCCATGGCGGTGGTGTCTGGGAGGCAGCCAGCTTTAGATCCTCTGCATGCTCTTTGCTTGGGCCGGGCTGTGCTGTCTGCGCCAGTCCCTGGAGCTCTGGGGTTCCATTAGAATTTGCCATGATGCGCCTGAAAAGACATAGCGGGTTTGAAGTGGATGCCATGCTCTCCGCAAAATGGCAGAACTATTGAGATCATTGGGCTGAAAATGTTGGCCTTTAAAGGAAGTGCATGCGGTCTTTCTAACACACACAGACACACACCCACACACACACGCACACACACATATAATGATATCTGTCTTTCAAGTTAAGCTGAAATCAAAATTCCAAAATTTGCTAAATGTTTGTGTCCCCTGATCATATTAAGCATTATTCATCATATCATAAAATTATATTTATATAATTCTTCTTACCTTTAATCAAAGTAACTTTTGCTCACTTCTAAAACATATTCTGAGTTTTAGTTGTGCCACCCTGCACTAGATAACCAACCAATAATATCATGTTTTACCTCCCCCCCTCCATCCACCCCCCACTTCTAATCGAAGGAAAATGCTCAGCCAGCTCATTGACCCTTCCTGATAGTGATCACTGCAAATATGTTGCTGTACAAATGAAAAATGTGTTATAATTTCCAATTCACTCTTGTAAATAATAGGGATATTATGTGAAAGTTGCCTACAGACTTTTGAATACATCTGGCTTTGTTGTTTTGTTCATTTTCTAGGTGAAAATAAGTTAACACATCCTCAGGGAACAAATATGCCATTTTCTGCACAATATGCATTTTAGTGCACGATAGTGTAACATATTGTAAAACATAAAGCATGAAATGTGCTATAACTCCTCCCAATATGTTAAATTCAGCAAAAAAAACCCAAATAAACAGCAATTGTGCATTAAAATGTGCAGAAATGTGCTCCCTGTAGAGTATGTGTACTTATTTTCACTTAGAAAATCAACAGCACATGTAATTTGACCAAAAGCATCTAAACTTTTGCACATGACTATAGGCTATTCCCTTATGAACAATAACATTTACAACTGATAGAGTTGTAAACAAAGATGCAACAAGGGTTCTTATGTGAGATGAGAGAAGATCCCCTTTTGGTTCCCTAAAGAACCTTTCAGCAGATGCTTCTTTAAAGAATTCAATTAAAACCATTTAAGGTTTTACAGGCAACCAAAAGTGAGTCTTTTATGGTATTGACCCCTTTTTTATGGCACCTTTATTTTCAAGAGTGAAAAAATTGTGTTTTGAATGCTGCAAATTTATCTCAATGTTTAACTGCTCAAATTAAAATTTTAATCATTATTGAGATTTAGCCTCCTTAAGAAAGAAAGTATTGCCTGAGAAGTCAGTTAAATATTGCATCGGGAAAGAGAGCAGTTTCATTACTGCTTTGGAGATGAGTTTGGGGAAAGGTCAGTGTAATATACACACCTGTCTCTGACTGCCGTGAGTTAGCCCCACTTTCAGCGACTGTTCTAGGACTGCACCAGATGCAGCTTGCTTGCTACCGTTTTAAGAGTATGAAGTGGATATAAATGCAACTCAGCTGGAATCAGCTAAAAGGGGAGAATTTATTATTAGGCTGTCAGGCTTTTAGATCTATTCTCATGACAACAATGAAGCCACCAGGCCCCTGAAACTGTGGCAAGAAAAGAGAAGTCATTCCTGTTGTGCAGCTCTTTATAATACAGTGGCTTAGCAGTGGTTAAGGCAAGTTGCTAAGTGGTGTTCTATTGATGAGACTAAAGAGTAAGTGGCCAGTACACTTCACAGTGGAAGTACAGATCCTCCCGTTTACCTGTCTTACTACAGCATAAAAGATGAGTATTTACTATAAATTACTACAGCATATAAGATGAGTATTTATTATACATTACTACAGCATATAGATGAGTATTTATTAATAAATTACTACAGCATATAAGATGAGTATTTATTAATAAATTGATTATATAAAGTTAATGCAATCACAAGATTCTTCTAATTATATTAAAACTATTATAGCAACAACAAGAGGAATTTATCCTCTTAACATCCCAGGTTTACTTCATACAAAGGTTTATTATTCAGTAACTACAGGGACTTCAGTGCAAACTAATTGAGCTTTTCTCAGGTTATAGAAGTGTGTAATAAAACATTAGCTTGTTAAAGGGTCAAAAAAAAGGAAGAAATTATGTTTTTGCACACACAGAAATGCATGCACTTTCAAAAACTTTTCAAAACTTTCAAAGTGCACTAGGCTGGAATCTATGTTTTGAATAAAATGCAATCAATCTTTGCAGAAAAAAAACATATCAAATTATTTCAGTATGTTAGGTAGGAAGCCATGAAGCTTTGAAAAAAAAAACCAAATATTTCAGATGTATCAAGAATGATGAATCAAGATGATTCTAAAATGACCCAGAAAGCTGTATAGCATGAAGAATATTGATGTATAATTAATATCCAGAACGCCTCACTCAAAAGTGATGGTGATGAAGAGGCAGGATGCAAGTGCAGGTCCACTGTTTACTGGAATCCACAGCAAAAAAGGATCCACAAATGTAGCAAAACTATGAAAAGATTCTAATGAACAAAATACTTAAACAAAAGGAAAACAAAAGACAAAGGGACATGAAGAAACAGGCGATAACAAAACAGGGTTTTACAAACCATAACACCAGGCAAACACAAAGCACACAACCAGGGGTATATGCGCACAAGAACAAACCACAAACACCTGGGGCCTACGAGAGGGTGAAGCTATAAACTACACACAAGTGATACAGATAACAAGGAGTCATGACAAGGGAGGAGGCAGAGACCAAAACAATAACAAAAGCACATGGCAAGACGCATGAGGGAAGGTAAACAAAGGCAGGCACAGACAGAACCAAAGAACGACAAGAGCAAGGCAAGGCAGCATGTGACAGTTATCTATAGATGTACACATTATTAAAGGGGTATTTCATAGATTTTTTTTTCCAAATTTCTAATAATTGAATGGTTAAGATGTAAACAGAGTCATTCAGAGCAGTTTGATGTGTCTGCTGCAATATAGAGAAACTTACCGAGCCAGAATTGTTTACAGTTTCATAGATAGGAACCAGACATCTGAATAGTTTAATACATACATCACAGAAAATGATTACATGGAAATGGTTATGAATATGCTTTCTGATGCCTGAACATTGTTTTATGATAGTTTTGAGATAAGATTTTGGCGTAAAACATATTTTTTAATCCATTCATTGCACAGAGGTACATGCAGGGTGTAAAACAAAATAGTCCCCAAAGAAAACTTTTTTTTCAGCTTTACCACTATTTTATTATCATAAAAACTCAGAAGATACTTGTAGGTTCACTGAATGTTTTGGATGGTAAATAAAACTGCTGTATTTGAATTGTTGACATTGTGACCATTGTGGTTTCTATTACCACCACTGTAAAGAAATCTGAGTCAGTAAGGTTCTCTACTCTCTTTTTTTCTTTCATTTTCACAACGTAATGGAATTCCCCATTAACAAACTATCAGGAGAAGCTTTAGGGATAGGTCTGGGACCAGGGTGAAGGTTAGGTTTGAGTTTTTGGTTAAGGTTAAGGTTAGGGAAAATAAAGTGAATTTAATAGCTATTTAGTTGCAGAAGTTAAACGAAAAATAAGCATCTAGAAAGCATCTACAGGGAGTTATCCAAATAAAATGTTACCACTAACTGATCACCACAGGAGCCATGCCTTCATATTGGAATTATGGGTTTGTCCATCCAGTGTCAGAGCATGCATTAAATAGACTTCTGACTTCTGACTCTTCTGAAGAAGATACAGTTGACCAATCGCAGTCTGCCATGGCATTGTACATAGGTGGAAACGACTGTGAAATTTTCATGAAAAAAAAAAAAAAGAACTATACTGGAACTATTTATTTTATAACTGTTTGATTTTGATTTGGTCACAGCTGGCCCTGTTGCTCTCTGGCTTGGCAATTCTCTGCTGTCCATCTAGATGGCCAATCATGGGCATCTGTTAGTCATGTGTACAGATCTGGGCACTCAGCGCATTCTTCCAAGAGCATGCATCTACCCTGAGCAGCAGTTTGAAAAGAGTTGAAGAAAAGGTGATACAAGGAAACCCACATGAGATTTGTAGGCAAAAGCAGTAAACAAACAACTCTAAATATTCTTTCAGCAACACTCAGGCTAGTTTTTTATTTATGAACTTAGAAAGTTACGTGCATTACATGCCCATGTGCTCAGGAAAGAGCAACAAACATAGCCATATGCCCAGCCAAGCTATGTGTAACTCGAGAACACAAAACCACAGAGAAACCAAGTATACTGGGTCTCCTTCAGCACAGCACAAGGGCTATAACCTGCCATTCAAATCCTGAACAACATTTAATCAATACATAATGACATTTGTTACTACGCCTGAGCCGGGCCTTTTTTCTCAGGCAGAAGCCCAGCTGAATTGAGCACACTTGGCTTTATGAAAATCATTTTGGAAACACAAATGCAAAGAGAGCACAGATGCATTTTTATCAATATAAAGATTTTCATCCTGAAACTGAAAGAAATCTCTTTTTATATGTTGTAAGGGTGCTTACCTCTGAGTTGCTTGTTTTCCACATTGATAATGCATCAGCGGTATCATTCAAACATTCAAAGAATAACATTCTATTATTATTATTGTTATTTTGCCGTAACAGCACAGCTTTTTCACAGACACTGTATCACCCTGCTGTGATCCGTTGCTAAGCAATGACTTTGACAGCTGTAGGAGATGCTCAAGCCATTTGAGCGTTTTTACTTCTTACTTTGCCACAAACAGAAAATGGATACTTTTAGGATTACATTTGACTACACTAAATTCCCAAACTGTCATCACCACTGAACAGCTTTTCAGTTGGCGGCTGTGACCGAGGAACACCTAAACAACCTGGAATTAGCCAGAAATGAACCCAATACCATTCACCAAGCAAAATGGGCTGTAAAATGCTTTACAGACTGGCCGGAACAAAACAACATTAATATTGATCTAGCAAAAATTGACAAAACTGAGCTAAACTTGATATTGCAGCAGTTTTATGGACTCTGAAGATATGACTACACATTTGACAAATGGTATTCGGTTAATTTCTGGCTAATTCCAGGTTGTTTACGTGTTCTTCTGT